CATTTCTTTACACACAAACTCTCATAAAACCGGCCACCCCTGAAAACCGGACACCGGCCACTTTTCCAAGAACAAAAGTTAAAAAACATAGGAAATTTCCCCTCATCATACCGGCCACTTTTTTATTGCAAGAAATTTAATTGTCATTGGCCAGAGGGGTAATAATGACCGACCGGAGGTGTGAAAATAGCCTACCCACGAGAAGTCAGAGGTGTGAAAAATTGAATATGGCCTCATAAGGTTTTCTATTGTTTAGCCGTCTTGATGGGGTAGTCATCGTGCCAGACTACGTAAATGGCCAGTCCAAGCTGTGCACATATGATTAACATTAATTAAACTTGAATTAATTAGATATCAAGCAACTAATGAAATTAAATCACAAAAAGAATCAACAAATTATCGCACGCCATATTGCATCATCCTTTTAAATACACATAAGCGGCCTTAAAATTGGGTACTGTTAAATAATGTTAAGAAAAAAAAATTAATTAAAATGTTTACCAAAATATACATTTCATGATTAAAATAAGAGAAGTTTTGCTCAGAAAGGCTTTAATTATTACTTGTAACTGAAGTACAAACATTTGTTTAATGACGTAAGCGATACACAGATACACATGCAGTATTCTGAATAGACTTCAGTTAAGGTAAAGAGTCTGGTTTATTTCTTCGCATATGATTAATAAAGTAACTTTCCATGTTTTTTTCTGTTCTTTTTTTTTCTTATTTCTTTTCATGAAAATCAACATGTATGTCGAATTTATCATCACTAATAATAATTTCCTTTTTTTAGACCTTAATATATATTACGTGTCTGCCGATAATTAATAATATGTTGACAGATAATTATAACAGACACCATTTTTCCTAGCATCTGTCATAGTTCTGCATTTCTTCAGTATGTTAGATTCTCGGGAAACCGGCCACCCCTCCAGTCCGGCCATTTTATTCAGTCCGGCAGCTGGCCGGTTTAGAGAAGTTTTACTGTATAGTGTAGCAATGAACAGTGACTTTTATAACAAGACTGTGAAAGTTAAAAAGTGGAAATTCTGGAAAAGTTGATTCGTCAATGTTTCCACTTGATGTAAAAAAAATCCCACCTTTACAGTATCCCCCCTTACCTGATACAAGACATTGAAGAAGACTGGATTGTACATGGGTAGAGGTAGAGTGATGTGACCCATGTGTCCCGGACATTTGGCCTGTCCCAGACCACATGTCTGACATCGTTCATCTCGATCAGTAGGACCTGTATAATCAAGTATCTCCCATATATACCTCATCAAAATACAACAAGTACAAGAAGCACTTCTTTATTATTAATAAAATTATATTATTTTAAAAAAATGTTTGTATATTGGATATTTAAATCACAAAGTCAGAAATTATTATGAATGGCAGTTGTTTTAAACAAAAAAAGGATCCAAACTGAATATGCAACTTAGGAAAAAAAAAGCTATAATTGCTTAGGAATATATAAATTAACATTTCTCTAATCAAGAACTTACCTAGCTTTGGATCATACAAGCCTCCAGAAGTTGGATGAAGAAGGCTGTCAAATGTCTGAGGATTAGTGATTTCCTTAACACTCAGTTCCAAAATATCACTTGAGTTGTAGGAATTAAAGCTAACACCTTTCAAGACATGCCTTGGTACATTTGCTTCCATTTCTACTACATCTACAATGGAATGTACTACTTATAAGTACATTTGGTTTTCTTTATCTGATCATGTTCAGGTGGGACAAAGCTTGATCAGTATATCAGATTTATACCAAAATTGCTTTTTATTGATACAAATATCTTCATCATCAATAATGATTATATGGAGTTAATATCTAATAAACAGATACCATATAATTAAACAAGGGAATGCATATCATGCAAAAAATGACATCCAAAGTGAGCAGAATACTATAAGTACAAGTGTGGCTGTAAATCAAAGGTTTTTACAATGCTTGGATCTGTAGCTCTCTGGTTTGTCTGTCTGATTATTTTCAACCAGGCAGCCACAACTCTGCTCCTAATGTGATGGCTGACTTCTTCTATTGAAGCAGTCAAACAACCCTAAATTTTAGTCTGACCATTTGTTAAGTCACACATCTGAGTTTTCCTTAATAGCGTCTGACAGTAAAAAAATAAACTTTAGCTCAATTCAAAATGACCAGCCAACTATAGATAGTTTTCGATAGGCCAGATTTCAGCAAGAGTTATTTCCCCTTGGCCGCCATACTGGAGGTCCAAATGCTCATATTCCTTCATTGTTCAACCAATTTAAAATTTTTAAATTTGCTATTTTGAATTAGAAATCATTATTTTTCTGAAGTATATAAATCTTAGGAAGCCCCCTTTATTTAAAAAAAAATTATTTGATAAAAATTTTCCACCAAATATTTCTGCTATATTTTCTTAAACTTGGTAAGACAACAAGGGAAAATCAATGAGTCAACCTCCAATATGGCGACCAACGGGAGGTAACTTTCGCTAATTCAGGCCTTTAGAAAACTATCTATTTACAGACATATAAATCTTTAAACTTATAAAGCTATTGATGTTCAAAAGTTGCTGGCGATTAAAATGACTAATCTACACTACACAATTTCAGTTGATTATGTTGTTACAGCTGTAACAGTTTGGGCCACAGATATCAGCCTTGAAAGCTTTAAATAGTTGGTAGAGCACCTGGCTAGAGATGCAGGGGTCCCGGGTTCGATTTCAAGTCCATTCATACATTTTCTCTTTTCCTGTTACACAGCTAATCTACATCAATATTTTGATCACCTGACTATATTGGGTAAAAATACTCAGGTTTTAGACTTATTTCGTCTATCTGATCAGAACGTAGGGCTTGCTACATGTGTGAAGGGCCACTAAAGGTGCTTATCCTGCCTTTAGTAAACATATGGAAATTTCAATGGTCAACATGGTCAAGATGGATACTGTATTAAAATCATCTAATGCTGCCTACCTACATAACATTTAGCTGCAGATCTGTAGCGTTATGGTTTTATATATTTGTCTTTGATCATAACGCTACAGATCCCATAGTGCAAAAAAGGTGCAATTTACGGCACAATATTTTTTGCGCTCTTTTGGGGAGAATTTCTCCACTTTCTAGCAGTGGTCAATCAACTACCTTTCAACCCCTAATTCTTGACACATTATTTAACTAATCTGTATATTTTATCGATCTCCCAACCCTTTATGGTCGTCTCTACAAGTGATAAACTTGCTTGATTAAAATTATTTGTTATATTACTGAAAATTCACTTCAAGCAAGTTTATTGCCTGTAGAGACAACTATAAATGGTTGGGAGGTGGATAAACTGTACATATTGGGTACAGAATGTGTCTAGAATTAGGGAATGAAAGGTAGTTAATTGACCGATGCTGGAAAGTGGAGAAATTCTCCCCAAAAGAGCGCAGAAAATATTGCGCCGTAAATTGCATCTTTTTTGCACTACGGAATCTGTAGCGTTATGGTCAAAGACAAATATATAAAACCATAACGCTACAGATCTGCAGCTACATAACATTGTAAATGCACCTCCTGGACTCCTCCATGTGACCTACCCACTACACATCAAATTAATATGCCCCCTGAATTTCCACAGGCCCTGTTCACATATTCGCTGTTCATTACCTTTCCCTTCTTCATTTCTCAGTGTCCCATTTACTGTACACCAAATAGTTAAACAGACTGTTTATCCGCCAGAGAATTCTTCGATGTAATTCTCAAAAAGTTTGCATACAAGGCGATTAATTAGCTTAAATTGCTTTATCATATTGTCAAGTGAAAAACAATATTTCAAGTTAGAGTAAACACTTGTTAAAATCGAAATATACATTGGATTTCAAGATTTGGAAGCTTTTGAAAAATAGATACGATCTGAAGAAAGAGATAACACGTACCGTCAAATGACTGTCAAGAGCAATTTTCTTAAATAAAACTTCAGTATTTTGATTATTCACATGTGCTAGAATAAATCGACTTCATATCCATTTTCTACATTGAAGTGATTTCATTCTTCAATTAAAGCGTAGAAAAGATTAAGACATATTCGTAATATCATCATTAAGTCGTTCTTATTTTAGTCGATTATTGTGAATAAAGGACTGTCATGCTCACCTGTTATTTGTATGCAAATGATTCACGAATTTTTATTAGTGATATCAAAGTTTAAAAATGTGGTAAATAAATTACATATTATTTTTAAAACATGTGGCCCATGGGCAACAGCAATCACCTGAGTCACACTACACCTTCTTCAGAAATGAAGATTTTCACTGGATTGTTACGTACCCCATCTACTTAAAAAATATTGTGCCGTTCTACTACTCAGCCTTAACAGTAAGGTGACATGACTAAGAAAACTTGATTATATAATTTGTTCCCTTTTACAATAACACGTACACGCTTGTAAATTAAAATGAAATGTGATTCAGGATTTTAGCTCAACACGTCGTATACCCAAATGCAAATGTTCACAAACCTAAGAATGCCAGCATATTAGTGAAGTTTATTTTCACCTTCCTTTCCTTAATTATTTGATTTTGATTTTTTTTATTACTATTCTCACATAAATCTTTGAACTACATACAAGCTAGATTCCCTATTCTTTTCTGTTAAATAGTTCATATACATGTATACCAATTTGTAGTAAATAGCAAAAGTGACTGTAGGTGCTTGTTGGCATTATATTGACATGGATGTTATCCTTAAACAGCATTTTTTAGCAGAATGATCTGTCATAGAAAGCTTTTCAGTAATGTTATACCGGTACTTGATTTTTATGATGGTAATATCTCCAACACTGAAATGTTATAAACCATTTGTATGGAAAAATGATTTGAAGGTCCGAACAACTTATTCTTTAAGTATTTTACCCTCAATATCTGAAATCCTTGGATATTTCAAAATTATTTCTCAGTCCAACTGATGAGATAATGACTAAGGTTGGACTGTATGTAAGATATGTAATAAAAAAATCAACGCTGAAGAATTATTATAATGAAATTTATTGATGCACAAAAAATAAAAACAAATAAAATAATAATTATATCTACATCAACAATTTGGCAATGAAAAATGTCCAATAACAGATTGAACCCCTCCCCTATAGACTAAACCCCTTCTTTCAGAGAGTACCTTGTTGAAAAAGAGCAGAAAATTAACATTTTTTTTTTTAAATCCCACAAATTTATCCTTTTTCAAAGAATGTAATACTGACATCATATGCCAAAACCAAAAAAAAAAATCTTACACTGTAATACAATTTCATTTTATATGAAATACTGTTAATTATGATACAGGACCAATAAGGTATATTCTTATAACCACAACATTCAAGTCAATTGTTTAATTGTCTACACAGAAAATGAATAATGTCACACCTTTACATTCACTCACATTTGTACAAAAGCTTGTGCGATTTAAATACTCCTCAAATTTAAAGCAATTTGTTAAAAGATAGATTCACACTTCACTACTTAGTTTTGCTCCAATTTTAAGCTTAATTTTCAGTATATCCCCATCTAAGCTTTTCCCAACCTACTCTTCACCTATGTCATGAGTACTGGTACATGTATGTAATAATGATTTTAATATTTTCTAAGGAGGCTACATTTTTACTGCATCAACAATACTTCTAGGAGTCCACAACATATGAGGCTAGTAAACATATGTATGCTAAATCAAAAGGTTAGATGTTATAAAGTTTAAATGGCCGTCTTTAAATGTTGTGTGCAAATATCCCTGAACTTTCAAATATAAAATTGATACACATGTCAGATGATAGTTTTGTCGATTGCACAAGTGTTAAAACATAACAATGATCAAAAGATATTATAATGATATAAAAAAAAAAAGGCATTTAAAAAAATGATAATCTTTTTTCAAAAATAAATTCTGTTTAGTAGTCTTAGTTGTCTCGAATTTAAATAAAGTGATTTTATTTTGAAATATTTCTTAAATATTCCTTTCATAGCTAATTATTAAAATATTTGAGCTAGTTAAAATTAATTAAAAATTGTTTTTAACTTTGTTTTATTAAAAGTAGAACAAGACCCTGTCTGTTCCCTACTCCCTCGTTAGTTAACTAACGAGATTAAATTGAGACGAAAATGCCTACACATTATCCAGCTTTATGCATGGAATGTTAATTTATCACACTAATATTTCAGTATCATCATTTCCATAAGTTTGTAGAGAGAGTCTGTCCACTGTTGGCAGGTGCACCCCAATTCATAGCCCCCTGGTTCCCCATTGGGACCCCCATCATTCCTGTGTTTCCACTTCCCAAACGCATCTGTGCCATTTGTTGCTGCATCTGAAAATACACAACATTTCATCATTAAAAAACATAGTAGAAAAAAAAGTACTATTAAACTAATTACTGAAAGTATTCAAATACATGCATATTTTAGGTTTTAAAAAATGTTTGATGTACTCCAGTTCACCCATTTCAAGATGAGTAAGTTGGTAGGTTTTTATTATTATAAAATTTTTTGTTGAATGATCTAACTCATTGATAATCATCAAGTTAATTTTTTTCATCTTCTCATTGCAATATATATTGTGTCACAACAGCCTGACTCAGGGGTCATGAATTCCAAAATTTTGTACGAGGGTTCTATGCTCATTATAATCATGCTAAAAACAGTTCAACTGCTTGATGTTTGGAGTAAAGAAGATCTTTGATGATTGTCTTAGTTTTGATGGATTATGCCCAATTCCTTAGATCAAAAGGAATGCTGAAACATAAAATTAACACTTCTTGTTCCCTTCAGCCCATAGATACTATACTAGTATACCAAAATTTGTTGAAATTGGTCAAGGGATTAAGAGAAAAACCTGAAAAAGTTCAAATGGTAAGGGATGACTAAAGCCTAACAGATTGCACGTGACATCTTCACTTAATCAATGTCCTAAAATTATGGCAATTATGTCAAATTATTAGAAAAAATACAAAGAATATCCTTTACCTGTTGATATTGCATTTGCTGCATCTGTTGCTGGTTCCCATACCCTGCCTGGCTAACTGGTGGCATGCCCATCATGTTATACATTCCTTGTTGCTGCAAATATATTAAAAGAATTACCTCTATTTCCACTTAAAATACATAAAAAATCTGATATCTATTACACAATTCTTGTACATCGCTACATGTCTATCATCTAAATTATATATGTTATTGTGGCAACATTTTCTAAATGAATGATACAGGTACGTAAAGAATCTAACTCTTTACAGTGATATGACCATTAGACATACCTGTTGTGGCATATTCATCATGCCCATCTGTTGTTGTTGGTACTGCATGTTTGGTGCCATCATACTGTTTGGTGGCATCCCATACATCCCCATGTTCTGCTGTGGCATGTACACACCTCCTGAAACAACAAATAAAAAGCAATTAAGTAACTTATTGAAGAGGTCTTTAAAAGCATATTAATTAAATGGATTGAAATGAATGATTAGCAAAAATGAATATTTGTGTATACTTTTTATGAAAACATAATGAATAAGATTTTCAGCTAAAAATGGTATGTTGAATAACAATTAAGAATGACATAAGCAAAACAAGGCAACTTAAAGAGGTTATTTCCTGTTTATGTGTTTATGAACTGTTATGTTGGATTATGTTTGATATAGCCAAAAAATATTGTTGAGTATAATAGTCTAAAAATAATGAGAGAAAACTAGAAAACTGACCAGTCAGCAAGGGCCCCGCCATGGGGTAGAATTATAAGGGTGCAGCTTATGGAATGATTCAAAAATATATGACGAATAAGAAACAGCAACTGTATTCTTAAAATTTCAAGATAATTCCTGAATATCTAAAAACCTGTAAATAATATCCTTGTATTTACATAATGCAGTAAAGAACAACTCAACACTGAATGTATATCTAAACAATAATGAAGCTTGTGTTATATAAAATGCCAGCCTTCAATGAATGCAAATACATATATTCATGAAGGCTTGACCTTAACTTCAAAACAAACAGCAGTTGCAAACAAAGGTTTTCATTAATCTTAAAGTGACAGATAAAGATAAGCCTTCTAAATTTTCTGCAGCAGACTAGATAATTAATCCCAAGCGATTAATTGTACTTCTCTCTCATCATTTTCTTCTTAATTTATAATAAGAACTTTTTCAGTAACGATAGAATGAGGTTTTTATCCTACTACCTTAAAAATTAATAATAATATTCTTGAATTTTCATGAAGCCAAAAAAAAAATAAATAAAAATAAAAAATATACATATCTTCTATAATCTATTTCTTGTTTTTAGAATTCAATGAAATCAGAACTCATTTTTGATTTCAACAAAAATAAAGTAAAAACATTTATACTTCAATCCACATTTCAGAGTGTCCATAGCATTCCAAATGGACTTAACTTCAAAACAAACTTCATTTGCAGACAGAGGTGGTAATTAATCTCAATGCGACAGATAAAGATAATGCTTTGGATTTTCTTCAGGAGGAAAGCTAATTAATCCTAAGAGACTCATTCATTGCAGTATTCAGTTTACAATGGGAACATTTTCAGAAGTTATCTCTCTTTGCCAATTCATTCTTATATAAAGTTATGGAATCTACCCCACCACCCCAGCTCCAAACCAGAGGACATAGAGAAACAAACTTCGCATCAAAATATGTCTTTTTGCCTACTGAACTACCATACCAAATTTGAACTTAATTGGGCAACCATAAAAAAAGTTATTAGGAAAAAACAGAAAATTTGTGGACGGAAGAAGGACAGACGGACAGACGGACAGACAGAGTGATTACTATAGGGCACCCGCAAATCCTTGCGGGGCCCTAATAATACTTTTCTCAAATGCTTTACATAGAATGAAGGTGTAAGAGGCTTAAAATCAGTCATTTCTTTTAATTTAGTTTACAAACCTTTCTACATTCTTGAAAAATACATCACTTTCTAAAACACATGTACTTAATACCTCTTATATGAATGTTCATGATTTAAAATAAAGTGCACGTGTGGGGATTTTTTTCTTCTAATATTTAACAGCCAACTTTCAACTTTTGAATACTTTTTCAGATCAAACACACCTGCTCTTTTATACAATTTATAATCAAAATCAAAGGGGGGCATCAAAATATAAATTTAAAAAGTATTTACAGAGTCCAAAATTGATACTTCAAAAGCCAAATAATTATCATACCAAAATTTAACATGCATTCATATCCTACATCCACTGAGTAAGAAATAAAAAAAAAAAAAAAGAAAAGAAAACAAAGCAAATGTATCATATCTGTGTAATAATAAATGCACAAAAAGCCATGAAAGTTCAACTACTTGAGATAAAAGAGAAGCCATAAGCATGCTTGTTTTCCTGTACCTGCTTCATACTGGTACACATCATAGGGAGGGGCATAGCTACCTGTAAGTGGCACACAATGGTTATATCTATACAAGTACTCAGTGCTAAATACACTTTTGATGGACACAAAAAGCACTATACACATGGCTCTACGAATTGTGGTGGTGGTGGGGGGGGGGGGGCTTCCATAATTTTGCTGCTATTTTTAGTATACTATAGAAAACAAGGCTGCTTTATGGACATATCCCCTCAATAATTACATTTAATGCCATCCAATTTTTTTTTTCTTATTTGCCTATCAAATGATTTTTATTTGGTAATGCCCATTCAAATTGAAAATGTTTGGTATGCCAGGCTCCCACACCCTTTTCAAACTGAAATTGCTTATGTACCTGATTATCTGAGATACACAGTCAAGGAAATGATTTTAGACATAGACTGGGCACACAGACCCCCTGGTACGTGAAATTCAGTGTGTGTGGAAATGACATATATGTACAGTAATGTTGGTTTAACAGCAAAAATAGCACCTCATCCTCTTACATTTGAACATGTGTATTATACAGCATGTAATACATTTTTGTATAGTGATTTTTCATTACAAAAATTTATTTTCATTTCATTGAGCTATTTCCAAAAAGTAAAAAGACAGTTAATTTAATGTATCCCAGTGATTGGGAAGGGCTTGCGCCACGCGCCATAGTCGCATTGAAGTGAAAAATGGCGCATTAAATCAATCAATCATGGCGCCAAGGTGCGCATTCATTTCTTAGCGATGTTATTTGGAAATATTTTGCGTACGACTTTCTTTCTTGTTTTACTTTCGTTTTAAATGCAGTCAATTTAAAACAACAAATCTCATTGGTTGAACCTCGTCAAAAAGTACTTCCGCTTAAACGAAGCACTTACATTATGTACAATACTTCATTTATTAGTATTGTAGGGCTGTTCCCTTTCCAAAACTGTCGTAATTTTAACACAAAATACGGGTTAGTTATATTCTAAGCAAGTTCCTTTAAATTTGATGCATTGCATGTTAAAAATCAGATTTGGTTAATTAAAAACGTGTTTTCTCTCGTATTTTATATTTGTTTGTCACTTTGTTATTTTTTAAAATGGCCCTTCAGATTATATTGATGGCCCATTTATTTTCGAAATGGCCCATCAAAAATGTTGACAGTTGCGCCATAGTCCCATTGGCATTTTGGCCTTCCCAATCACTGGTATCCAATGCCATGGGGCATTTAGAAGCAAAAATATTTAGTTTTTAGTTTTGAGGAGAAAAGCAGTTCAAACAAAGTCTCAAATGAATGATATTACAAATCTAGACATTTGATATTTTATTTTAGTATACCAGAACTTTGACCATGAAATAACCTTAATTCCTAGCAATATTATCAGCCATACAACATGCTGTGTTAATTATGATTGCTGGCTTTCTATCTGTGAAATTAGCAATATAATTAATTGTTTAATTTCCCTTGCATTAAGCTGATATTTTAATAAACAACACTCACCCCTTACTGCAATAATCAAGTGTTATTCATATAAGTAGACAATCACACATGTTAGAGTGCAGATAAAGTTTAGTCTATTTTCTTAATTATACTGAATACAACTGGTGCAAATGTCCAACTGCACATATAAACATATAAATTTTAAGTTTATATCAATGCTGTGAAGATTCTTTGTAGGTTAGCTTCCTTATAATGTGTGTATGTACCTGGCACTCCAAACTGTTGTTGCTGAGGCTGCTGAGATGAGGAACTACCAAACAGAGCCATGATGGAGTCTTTTGTAGATTTGTCCTGAGGTTTCTCTGTTGTCGAGTCTTGGAACAGATTCACATCTGTCTCTCCATTCTTTAAAAGATTTAGTGGTCAAAAATTATATTCAGGCTTAAGTTTTCTATAAACTTATGCAACTATATTGTCTACATGTACAGTTTAACCTAGATATCTGGAACACTGATACCTTGAATTGTATTGATATGTCAAATTGAATTTGGAGTCCTGTTCAATTACTCTTAAAGGTACTTGGACACAGATTTGAAGTTATTATATTCTCTTTTATATTATGACTTATATATTTTAATAGCATTTCACACAAAAATTAGGCCTAAATTAAAATATTATTTGTTTGCAGTTGCCTAAAGATATAAAAATGCACCCGACCCAAACCTATTTTTAGCCATTTTGTAATATTATTTTTTACAAATTTTTACATGATATTGAAAGTGTTTCATTGTCAATTTTTGTCTTTATCAATCAGTAGTTTATACCAAGAGTGGAGCTTATTCATGTACAGTAGGCCTATGAAAAACTTTATTTTATGTTATCTGACAAAAATCTGAAAACAATTTTTTTCCAAAAAAAAAAAAAAAAAAAAAAAAAGAATGCCTACCCAGTCTAAAAATTATAGTTCGGCAACTGCAAACAAAGAAATTTTTTAGCTTGGCCTTAATTAAAAATCTTATTCCAAATAAAAGATATTAAAATTTCAAATTTTTTGGCGGGTTTGATTGACACATCCTTGCACTTTTACAAATTAATTTTATTCTTAATCCTTGGAAAAAATGGCAATCTCATTGTGTATAAATGAAAAATATTAATACTATAATTCAGAAAATTCAGATTAGACATGTTCGAAAGCAAAACAAACACACAATATAATGTCAGTCCGTGCAGTTGTGGTAAGCAGATTGAATGCACCCGGTGAATTGTAAACATCAACAAAAACAGAACTCGTGTCCTGTTTACAAAAACTGTGTACATAACACAAGTGTGCTCGATTTGCTTAACCCTGTACGCAACTCTTAGTTCAGAATGACGATATGAAGGAGTTTTGCTTTATAACATTTCTACCCTGAATAAAATTATTTTTCTGGATAAAAGTTTTAATATAAAACTTTTTCTCATTAATACACAACAAGATTGCCACTTTTCCTAAGGATTAAGAATAAGGTTAAAATTTGTGAAAGTGCAAACATGTGTCAATCAAACCCACCAAAAAATTTGAAGTTTTAATAACTTTTAAACGAAATAAGATTTTTAATTAATTTTTGTGTGAAATGCTATTAAAATATATAAGTCGTAATATTATAGAGAAAATGTTGACTTCAAATCTAGTGTCCAAGTACCTTTAAAGTATTTAAACCTTCAATACCTCAAATGCTTGGATATCTCGAAGAAGATTTTACTTGGCTACATTCATGTTATGATTTCATGAGTTCATGATAATGAGATCTGAATGTATGAGATTTTAAATTCTTGATTTTTTTCTTCAAATTTTCATATTCAAATGCTGAAATAAGTAAGCAATATGAAAATATTTTTGGACCAAATTCACTGTACTACGTACCTGCTGTGTTGATTGTAGAGGCTGACTAGACTGTGTAGGTACATTGTTCTGTGAGGAGACAGGTGCCCCCATAAAATCTCCTAACTCCCCTAGTAAATCCCCAGAACCACTGGAGGTATTCTGTTGAGTACTACATACAACAGGCATGTCTGTAAAATCAAAAGAATTAAATATACAAGCTATGCAAACCTAAGCTGTAGTTACAGAGTGCATTGGCTGTACAATTAAAGATTCGTGTATTCAAGAGATCAGACTGACCTAACCCCAGGAGGTCGGCTGAGTTGCTGGATGTTACTTGACTGGTGACTGGTGCTGGTTCCTTTTTAGGTGAAGAAGTGGCTGAACTTTCTGAGGGTTTTGCTTTTGGAACCTGCTCAGAAGAAATCAATGTGTACTGGTTCAGTGAATTTCATGTATAATTTTTTATTCTTCATGTACATGTATTAAAGATAAAATGTTAAACCAAAAATATTCTCAGTGTAGTATATAGGAGGATATATTACCGAGGAGAGCTGAACCACTGACTGTTTCTTTTTCTTCTTCTCCACCTTATCATCCTCTAAAAGCTGAAATTCAATAATTTCTTCATTATCTTAAAATACAAACATACATATACCAAAATTGTAAATTTTGAGTATGAACTTGTAGTAATATAGATTATGATTAAAAGCAAATTCTAGATCTGTGACTAGTAAATATAAAATTTCTACATGTGAATTTTTTAGTAACATTACAATACTATTCTAAATGTGAACATTATTAAGTTAGAGAGCAAAGGGATATAAAGCTCGCTTGTGTCACAACTTGGTCATATTGAGCTCAAGAGGTATATGAAGATTTTTACTTTTAACTTCCCAAGTTAAACTTTAATTGTTCCCCTTTTTTGTCTACCCTTGCTACCAAGTTAGACTAGAAATACAAACCTTTAAAAACACATCTTAAATCAAAAATTAAATAGACTTTAACAAGTTTGAATACATTCTAGATGTATATGAGGATTGCTGAATATCAAAGCATCTACATTGTCACCCTTCTGTTCTTTATCAGACTTTAAAATTGCTAGAACTGTTACTATGTAAAACTGTGACCCTCGTATTAACCCCACCTTAGCTATGTGGAGCAAAACAAATCAAAAACCATTGGCTAGCAAAGATGCATTAAAATATTGGCTTCATGTAATTGCTTTTATAGAGAAGTTCAAATGTAAAAAGATTTTTGTTTGTTAATTTATAAACCTTTTTACTGCTAGCTAAGTATATAAAAATTTCCAATAAATATCTATTTCTGCTCATTAACTAAATTAAAAAAATTCAAATCCCATATATTTACCTTCCATTTTTTTTAAATTAGATTAAAACAGATGACAAATTTTATGAACCACCACCAGAATAAACTGAAATTGTTAGTTCCACAACCAAGGTCTGAGCTAGAGAGAATCAAGCCAATCTACACTAAGACTTACCCCATCTGCTTTTAACTACAGTAAAATCAGGATAAATGCAAACAACACACACACAACAATAATGATCATTCTAAACACCTATGTGATTTAAAATTTTTGCAAGAAAACTGAATGCACTGCATTTTGAAGAAAGTACAACATGGAGACATACCTGTTTGGGAACAGAAAATTTAGGTGGAACCCATTCCCTCGCGATGTACTTCTTCTGTTCATATTTTGATCTAATAAAGGCTTCCAGAGAGCTTTTGCTTTAGTTATGGCATAACAATAATGTTTTTTAATGATTTTTTTTTCTTAAAAACTATGATGCTAATTTGTTTAAATAATCATTGAACTCAAAGAACTAATTTTTCAAATGAGAGCAACTCTCATGCAGAAAATTAACATAACAATTTTGATGATTTTAACTATTTTCACCAAAAATTAATTTTGTGGATTTAAATTCGTCAAAGGAATCTTCTTGAAATCAAAGTACAAAAAGGATACGAGTCTGTCTGAGGACGACGGAAACCGTCCGGAATATTAGCTTCATAGACGGCTCTTCCTCTGCTGTTACCTATTTCCATCATCATCTGATAAGACACAAAAATATGATGGTTTGAATTTTTTTCACAAAAATATATATTTAAAAAGCTAATTAACTTTTTAAAGCGCAATAAATTTTTAGTGATATTCAATTTTAATCATAATTTAAATCCTTGCTAAAAATTTTTATTGAATTTAAATTATTTTTGATTATAGAAGTATGATAATTTTTTGGATTAAAAATAAGCAAACTCCATTTTTTAAATTCAATGCTTACAAATTTAATAGTGAGTTTACCATATGAATTTATATATCTTCCTCAGTATTAATTTGTGCATTGTAACTTACAGACACTTGTTCTGCAGTCCATGTGTCTAGATTCACCGATTTTACTTTTGAAACATGAACTCCCAGATTTCTGTGTATTCCAGCACATCGTATACATAAGAAAATTCCTAAATTCCATGAAGCCCATCTTGGTCCTGAAAAAAGAAATCAAGAGTCATATTCTTCAGTGCCAGTTAATACACATCTATCAAGTATATTGTATGTAGTCTATCATTTGGTGACAGTTGTCAATAAAATATTGATTCTCAGTGCTAAAGATTCTTTATAATAAAATAAAAAAAAAAAAAACGATGTTGACATCTATATGTACATAAAATGAAATTTAAAATTTTAAAAATCAATTTTTATTGACACACACAACAAATACCGAGTAATTTTTATGATAATATGGGGGTCTTCATGTTTAGTAAATAAACATCATTATGTGGTGTTATGAATCTCTGTTGTCGAAATGAAGTGATAAAAAATTTCTTTTAACTAAAATCTTTGCCAATTTAGAAATTTTCCCAAAAACAAACAAATCTTTCTGTTATAAATTTTTATTTTGTGTGAGTTAACACACAACAATTTCATGAAGCGCGCTAGTGCTTCATGAAAAATATGATTTGTGTGAACACACCAATAATTCACACAAAACTGAAAAACATTCCTTATATTTACATTTTACATGTGTGGAAGCAACTAAAATATACTCAATATTTGATTTTCTCGCTGCCCTCTATCATCGCATTTTTACTACATAGCTGCAGCCTCATTGTGATGTTACGTTAACGCATGTTTCTCCGTGTACATTTCTAGGTGTGAGTATACACGAAAATGGTATTCAAAGCAATTTCACAGTTGGCTTAGTAGAAAAACACAGGGAATATAAATATTTAAATATATTAATGGTTTCTACATTCCAAAAATATAACCAGACCCAATTCAATGTAAAAAATTATCAATAATAGAAAAAAAAAATAATAAAAAAAACTTTGATCAAATATCTATGTAAAATATCATATACAATGGGACAATGATGACAGAAAGATATTTACGGCGCGTCGATTTACCCAAATGGACCCAAATGGAACCCAAATGGAAACACAAATGGACCCACGTGGACCCAAATAGAATATTAAATATGTATTATCGTATTTTAATACTTATTCAAAATGATGAAAATAAATGAACTTACAGTTACAAATGAATTTTTTTATTATTAATCTCTAATATTGTATTTTGAAACATTAAATTTTCATAGTATCCTATATACCGGCAAAATTATCTGGGGGTAGGGGCGGGGGGACATCCCCTCCTCCACCCCCCTCCATCCGTTCCTACTGCCATAGAAACTATCAAATACTTCATTTTTGTATTCGATTATGTTCAATAGTTATTACAAATAGAATTAAATTGCATTTTTAAAAATACAATTAAAGAAATTAATGATATTAAAATATTCTCTTTTTGTTTTAATTTCATTATTTTCTATCTTTTAAATAAGTAAAAACTTTTATAATATATATATTTTATATTCCATTTGATTTCCATTTGGGTCCATTTGAGTTTCCATTTGGGTCCATTTGGGTTACATTTGGGTCCAATTGGGTAAATCGACGCACCCAGATATTTATAATTTAACCCCTGTAATCTAGACCAACTTTCGTTTCTTTCTTTCAAATATTCACTAAAAATTCAAGATGTTAAACAGTTAAAATGGTATTTTAAAAACCAAGTCATTGAAATATTAAGGTTTAAAATAATATTCCACTAATATTGTGTAGAACACCACACAAAGACCACAACACAAGGGCAAGATGACTCAATAATGGTAAGCCGAATGGTATAAAAACAACCTTTAGCGTCACAATCCACACAGTATTTGTTATCTTCGTCTTTTAAAAGATTTGATAACACAGCCTGAAACTTTTCTTGTTGGGCCTTGGCTTTCTCTTTCTCTAACCGAGTCGACATTCTCCACCACACAAAACTATTTTTCACTCAAAAAATATTGATGACAACAAACAGGAAGTCAACAAAGGAAGATAACTCATAATTCATTTTTTAACCGGAAAAAAATCTTTTAATAGATTGAAAAAAGTTCTTAAAAGCACATATGTAGATAAGTATTAATACGTCATTTTCTGTCTAACAACTCTATATCTTTCTCTGTTTAGCCATTTGATAATAATTTCTTGAGAAAAAACTTGCAAAGGGAAATAACTCAAGTACCGGAAGTGGGTGGTTTTGAAATCTGACGTCATAGTTGAGTGTGGCGGATTCAATATATAAGGTGGATCCATAATTAATTATCATAATCTAATTGAGTAACATTGATATTTTTACGATTTAGACCCTCTTCCTAACAATAAACACTGAATGAAGAACATGGGGGGGGGGTCTAGGAAAAAAAATTCGTCAAAGTAATTTAGTATAAAGCTTTAAAGTGTACTTTCTTTCACGTTCATGTATCTAGGCCTAGTTTGGCAAAATGAACAATTCAAAATCTAATGATACAATAAACTTTGAAAGAGAAGACTTGAAAGTTTGTCTGTTATCCATAAAACAAAAAACAGAAGTGTTAGTGAAAAGATGATACCCTGGTGTGGCAGCTTTATATATGGCAAGCCTGAACGGTTGAAGTTTCTCACATATAAGTCAAACCCCAAGGTCGAAAGTTCAAAATTATTGATATCCAAAGAAAAGTATTGTCAAAAGGAATAAATATATGAAAGCCATTGTACTCCGGAATTCAATGTTTATTTAGGACTAAAGGTTAAAGTTTTTTTAAAAAGTGGACCAAACTCTAAGATCAAGGTCAAAATTATTTATACCCATTGAAAGGTCTTTTCCCAATAAATACACATGTGAAGTATGGAAGCCCTAGCACAAACTTATCAAAAGTTATAGCCAAAGTTTGAGTATGGTAATTTTTTGTAAAAATGGGTCAAATTCCAAGGCCAAGAGCTAGGTCAAATTTGGTGGTACACAAAGAAAAGTCTTGTCAAAAGGAATGCATTTGTGTGGAATATGAAAATCATAGCCGTACTCACTCAAAAGTCATGGACTAGGTTAAAGTTTTTGCGGACAGACAGACAGACGGAGTGGAAAGGGCAAAAACTATATACCCCCGAATCCTCAAGAACATAAAAAGATAAGTAAAAAGGCTCTATCTTTCTACCATACCTTTGTATGGTGCATATACATGTATGCGTATGTATATATGCATAAAACTATCCTGAAAAGAAAATCAATAGATTGATCTAGTTCGATTCTTGTTCCACGACTTTGTCATTTTATTGCATAGGACATATATCTTATAATTGCACATTTAGAGATATCATACATTATTCGATAAACTTAGTCATAAGATGGAAGATTTGTTTGAGACAACCTGAATGGAATGCATGATTTTCTTTGATATTTTCAAATATAAGTGTATGCATTTTAACGATTTCACGGGATACAGTGTGTTTTTTTTAATATTTGCACATAACTACAGCTTCCACTAAAAATTCTTCAAGCATAGACACCCCACCCCTTCCCCATTCCTCGAGAAAGATTAGATATGAAAAAAGTTTAAAATATTGTTTACAACTCTTTCGGCTTAGAAAACATACAAGAGTGTTTTTGTTTATGAATGAGAGACTCTAGATGTGTTTTATTTCACTTTCTGTGAGTTGTTACATTTATATTTCGGGGACAAGTTCAAAGTTCACGAGAAGAAGTCAAGTAATTTATTACACCGCGATGCCCGGGGGTAAAGGAGGCAGCGAACAGGGAGAAAAAAAGTGAGATGTTAAACTGCAGCATTTCAGACACAGCGGAAACACTGATATTATCTTTATATTTATAATGTGGAGTTTAGCGGTCACTGTTCTTTTGTCCATTCAAGGGTCCGTTTGGTCAGCTTATCCTTTCGACTTTTCAGAGCGGGAATGCAGAGATCTGTTCCCGGAAAGGATCGGAAAAGATTCATTAAATGTTGGAAACGCTCACAGTGAAGAGATTTTTACGATTGAACCATCTGAAACCATACATGGATTTAACTTCGGAAGCACTCAAGGTCTGATAATTTCTCTCCGATAGAATTAATTGATCACCGACTTAAAAGTTCTACTTTTTATTTTTAAAAATAGTTTTATTTTATTTCATTTTGTCGAACTCCATTGCACGTTGAAACCAGATGATAAATATATATGAAAAAGTCTATTTTTACCAAAATATGAAAGAAGAATCGATCCTTTGTGGAATTAAATACAGAAAGAAAAGATTTGAAATGCAAGATATAGTTTTTAATGTTGTAAATTGTCATCTGAAATATTGCACAGCATTTTAATTTTACATTCATGATCACCATGAGCGTTTTATTTTCAGTTTTAATAAAGGCCAACAGTAAATGGCGAATCCAAGGAATCATAATGCAGGCAAGGGTTATCGGAAACTGCAAAGACCCGCAGCAGAAACATCCGGTTGGACATTTTGAGGTCCCTGAAAACCACCAATTCCTGCGGGCAGCGAACTGCTCAGGCGATCAATTTGTAAGTATATATATGGCAAGATGAAAACGCGCGCCCCCCGAGACAGGCGAGTCATTTGTATGTCACCACATTATGATAAGCGGAACATTGAGATACTAATTATAACAAGGTGCTTTGTCAAAGTAGATTAAACACCCCAAGGGACCCAGGCACAAACACTACAACTTCTTATAATGTTAAACAACATTTTATAGGAATTAACATTAACTTCGTTGTGATCTCTGAAGCAGGTGACTGTTTCTGTCTATTAGCAATTTAAATGTGAACAAATGGAATGTTTGTCTTTTGAAATGAATGGCATAGTTTATCCTTGCCTGTCCACCATAATTAATTTCGGGCCTTGGAAGGTAAAAGGAAAACAATTATATGAATGTTGTGAGTAGCGAGGCTACCTATTACAAGCCCAACGTACCAACGGACATTGAAAGAAATAAAGAATGAGGGATCCCAGATAGAAGGACATTTCCTGTATAAAAATTATTATACATTTATCATTGCCAAAACAGCTTCTCCATTGCAAAAAAAAAAAATCACTGAGAAAACAAGAGGGGTGGGGGGGGGTATCAATAGATCAAGATAGCATTCGACATCAATCCCGATGCAAATTACGTCATTTCCGTTATTCACAAGGACAATTTGACACACACTAACACACACAAGTGCGTTTTATGATCTCTTTGAACAACTCCGTTGGGAGGGGATAACAAGTCCAGGGTATTATTTTAAAAAGCATAGAAGTATATGGGAAGAACAAACTATTTATATGTACTGTAAATGTTAAAAAAAAAGGAAAAATGGCGACTATTTTTGCAGTTTGTACCATGTATTCATAAATCTTGCATTTAATGACTGATGAAAAAATACTGCTAAATACTTAATTAAGTAATGTGTTGAAATTCGCGATAAGAAAAAATTACAAATAAAAGAGGGAATTTGACTTTATGGGGAGGGTAGTTTCAAGGCCTCTAGAAGATTAAAAAAAAATCACCGTCTAAAGACGTACACATTTTATTTTTAGTCTTTAAAAGCAGAACATCTCTCCAGGATAGCGTTGTTTCCCATTCTCGCAAATGGACAATGCAAACATTCAATACCAAAATATTATGTTTAAAGTGTATTTTGAATTTTAAGAAAATAGACTCACGCAGAGATCGTGAGATTGCCACTTTTCTTTTTTCTTTCTTTTGCAGAAAACTGTTACTCATAAAAAATATCCAATTAATACAGATTCCATTGTCATCAACTGGTTTCCACCTGAAAATTTCAAAGCAGAGGTGTATTTTGTGTAAGCGAATCTTTACAAGTTATCTATATGTATATCGCAAAGATGCAAGTAAAATCTAACCTTTTTGCACGATTTTTGTCTATCCACATACTCGTTATTAAAAAAAAATACTGTAAAATATGCAATTTTTTAGAATTAATTTTTTTAGTAACTGATTATATTCTCCTAAGAAATTAGCATTAAAATTTGTAATGCTTCAAAATGTAATACTCAAGTCTTAAAATAGGAGATTGCCTCATTTTCTAGTAAGCTATTTTGCATTCCATTGACAGAGCAACAATTGTCTCAGGGAAAAATGAGTTCTGGACAGGCATTGTGAGTCATACCATCCGACACAAGGACAAACCCGTCACCCCCGGGCATCCTCAGTGTCCCATGCGCAGCAAGTACCGCACCTCAGCAACCTCGCGACCATCCCCTCAGGGAAGCACAGGGAGAATTCTTCATCCAAACAATCTATTAATCTGCACCCTCTTGACCGCCATTCTTTGGACTGTGTATCATAACTGACAAATGTGAAGTTATTCAATGTTTTTTTTGTACATAAATTTGCAGCATGGTTTGTTTTAGACAGAATATAATTCAATATATAGGATACTACAGAATTTACTCGTATGTAAAAGTATCAAAATTTTTAGGAATGTCGAAGATATACATTTAGACATAGTATCTGAATTAATTGTAAGCTATCCAGCAAATTAGGCAGTCCCTGGTGTATGAAACTATGCATAGGTCATATACTTGTACACGCTGTGTATATATGTGGCCTTGCAGATATACTGCATACTGTTAATAAAGTAGATTGTTATACCTTTAAACAATTTTTCCCATAAAAATCTATACGGAAAAAGTCTAACATTTCTAATGTTTGACTGAGCGAGCATAAAAAAAAAAATCGTCGATTCGACGTTTGACCGCTGAGTGAGATGTTGGGCCTGTCGATGAGATGTTGGACGGCTTACATCACACAGTGGGCGGAGCTTAATTTCATTTGCATTCGTTGGTGTTCAAGAGTGACAAACCTGAGGTCACAATACGAAAAGAAGAACAAGATACATGCTAAAAAAAAAAGAAAAGTTATGAAAATGAAAGGTATAACAAAACAAAACATTTATTGACTGTGTTCTCGGGCAAAATGCGTTTTGTCGACCCCCGAACCAAACTGTCTGCCTTCGACAGCCTCATGCAAACAGTTTGGTTCTTGGGTCCGACAAAATGCATGTTGCCCTCGAACTCAGTCAATAAATATATAATACTACGTCTTCTCTTCTTTTACTCTGTCTGAAGCCATACATTGTTTAATGTATCATGTACCAATATCCTCAAAGATTATATCTATTAAAAGAAACTTCTTAAAGGTTTTCTAGATCTTTTGAGGGGTAATACATTATTCCCGAGCATCCAATTGACAAGGCGCATGTGGACAGCACATCTTTATGGAATATCTATTGGAAATGACCAATGTCAGGCAATTCGAAGGCCGAAAAATGTAGCATTATAGTTGAAGCTCATATTTGTACACATGTACTTAAATAAATGGATTTGAGCTGAAATGTGTTCACTTTATGGCTGTTCATGTTGTCTCATTTAGACATTTCATGCAATTTTTGTTTTAATGTCCAAACACAACATTTTTCATCCTTTCATTTCTCATCTGTCATATTACAAGTCGGTCTCCGTGTTTCATTACACTTAAAGGTATTATAAGGGTTAAACTAGTAAAATATGCCTCTGTAAACCCCAAAAAGCTGTCTAAAGAACAAAGAATTCGTAAGGTGAGGTTAATTAATTCATATTTATGTAAATTTTTGTTCACAGTGATCGTCATCATTTGCTTTATTGTCTTGATTTATATTTTGATCTCACACGAAGGTACTAGTATTTGTTTGTGAAAGGAGTTCAATACTGATTTTATAGGAAAGAAGGGACTTTTCAGTTTGGGACCAATGCAGGATATTAAAGGCTCCATTTCGTAAAGCATCTGTTTCTAGGAAGGAATATCGTCACAAAAAAAAGATTAAAGTAAGTTGAAAGCATTTGTGCTGACCTGCTAAATAAATGCAATCAAGCGAGAATATGCCAGGAAATTTAGTTTTTTCAGAATCTCGGTTTTTGAAACTTTCCCACAAAAATGAATAGAGAAATATTTGATATATTTTATCAGATAAAACGTGAAATATTCTTTTATTGTGTAATTATTCTTGAAATAAACAAGTCCTAAAAAATTATATCACCATACTGGTTCGCTTTAAAGTTTACAGAGTTAAACCGTAACTTCCGTCTAAAATTTGTTGTTGTTATCGTGAAGAAAATGGTGACTTGTTCTTTATTTGCCACAGAAATTTAAAGAAATATATACAAAGCATATAATAAAAAATCAATAAGATTTATCTTGTTGTTAGCAAAAAGTAAATTGTTGGGTCATGATATAATTCTTAAAAAAACTCTTTCAGTGATACTTGTAAGTAGTAGTATCGGATAGTTTGAACATACATGAATTTTATTGTAATTTCTAATAAGAAAGGGATTGGATATATATAAAATCTATCACATTTAATACATATTGCCCTTAATTTGCAGATCTGCCCTTTTTTTCAGAACTGACATTAATTTGCAGATCTGCCCTTATTTTTCAGAACTGACCTTAATTTTGTAGATCTGCTCTTAATTTGTAGAACTACCCTTAAGGACAGATGAGACGTTCCTTAATAATAGATAAATTTTTCTAGGAGTCATTGAAGTATTGATACTTAAACATGTTTACTCACAAAAAATTGAGGTACCTTACCAGGCATTTCTGAAAGATACCAGGGGTAGTTTTTCTTATATAATCCTTTGGGGAAGAAAAATAATTTTCCAGTTTCGAATGTTTGAGAGTTTGGATTTTTTAAAAACGTTTAGAACCTGGTTTAGAAATCAAAATGTTATTTAAATTTTGAATATTTTTCATACATTACGAAGATATAAAAAACAGATTTTGAGGAACGTCTCGTCTGACCTTAATTTGTAGAACAAGCCTATAATCATTTTTATAACTGCTCATAATTTGTAGATCTGTCCTTAAGGTAGGATTCTTCTCATATTTCATGTATTTAAAAAGTAATGAAATTTTCACAGAATCAAGAAGACAATATCACAAAATGATAGTATCAGTGAAATTAAATTTGACCATTTTGTATTAGAGACAAGATCAGGTCAAGGTCATTACCCTTTTCCTGGACATTAATAATAAAAAGTTACTGTTACCAGTTATGCGATCCCTGCTTGTATTTCAAAAGATTGAATATTTTTCTTTTGCGTAAAAAGATTCTACCATAAAGGCCTTATAAGATGATATTACCAAATTGACATAAATAATTTGACTAAAATGGATATTGGCTAATCTGAATTTTCTCTACTTTTCTTAAATTTTTAGGATAAATTAGTTCTTTTTATATGCTTCATATATTTAAATTTTTCTCATTTTCATAAATGGTAAAGTTGTCACATAAAGATATTTGTAAATTGATACAAAAACAAAGTTTTGACCGTATACTAAGAGAGAAAAAACTACTTTTGACAGATTTTTGGCTCAAATTTGTACTTATATTGGAAGTTATAATGTTAACATAGTTCTATTTTGCTTGAAAAATCATATTTATTTGAATATAGAACTTTAGTCCCTTAATTATTATTAATTAAACTTACATTTGAAAAGTTCTTAAAGTCTTTGATTGTGTAAAAATTATAACTAAATTCATTGTTCTATAATAATTTTGAGAGGCAAAAAAAGAAGATATTTTCATACGCCACCTTTCCGCCAAAAATATAGTCCCTGCTAGTTTTCAAACACGGTTTACCATTTCTATTTAAAGTTGTACATTTGTGATGAGGAAATTAAAAAAATGATCTTTTAAATCTCTTACACCTAAGTATATAAGACATATAAGCAAATGTACTTTGAATATTTCATCTAGAGTCAGAAACCAGAGAAGAATTCTACCTTTAGATCAGCTCATAATTTGTAGAACTGTCCTTAATTTCCAGAATTTTTCATTCTGTAGTATATGTAGTGCTAATAACGTTAGATTTTCTTCTTAAATCATAATGTGATCATTTACTCATTAAAAAAATACAAAATCCTTGAAATATTTTAGCATTACCGTTCATTGACATTATATTTCATGTTAATGTCCCCATTACATGTATATTACTTTATTACATTATTTGTTTTTATTAATTTGCTAAATTTTCTTGACAATTAAGCGTAGTTATGATATTCTTATTCCACAGCTATTTGCAATTTCTACCTCGAATCAATACACAGGTAACATCCAAAAGGGAAAATTAAGTTAAATAAACTTTAATTCTCACCGAAAAGCTGTTGATGTAACCAACATATGATCAAAAATTAGGACTAAGTATATGTAAGACGGATTTTTCCTCACTAGAAGAAATAATTTGCTGTTTGCTTGATCTAACAATTTTTAAAAGGTGTTGTTTCATCAATCGATCCATACTTCGATACACTTTATTTTTTAGTGTTACAAAATTGCTTCTGTAAGACATCACACGGATCAATCAATTTTTATCAACGTAAAAATAGTTTATACATTATGAAATGCTTTTCAATCGTTAAAATATCTAAAGAATTTTCCATGCTTTCCTTTAAAGTTGTTTAGTGGCACAAGTAAAGTAGGTACTAGTATATCAGCATTATCTTTTTCTATTACATGCATAAACTATTGTTTGAATATTTGCAACAACTGAGCGCCTTTTTCATGACAAAGTAGGCATAAAGTATTTTTTATTAGTATCAACATTATTTCTTCTTTTTTAAAGTTGTTGATTATATGTGGAACGTCGGGAAAAAAAAATTTGCTAAAGTTGCTTATTGATAAGATTTTTCAGTTAGATATTATTTACTCGTGTTGCAATCACCATGGCTGCTTTAATAAAATTTACTTTGCAGTATATAGTTGATAAAATTTTGACTTAATTAATTTGTCTCATTTGGATCATTTATTTAGAAAAATACTTTAATGTTTAACTTACAACAAAGTTTTATGATAAATTTCCCTTACTTATGCAGCATTATACCTTTGTCATCTGCATACGGAGTTTATATCTCTCAGTAGAATCGATACTGAAGAACATTCTCTACGTATGAACAATTTCTAAAACGAGGTAAGTTAATGACAAACAAGATGATGAAACAAGAATATCAGCAGTCTCGTTTAAAGTCATCATTTCGTAAGTTCTATGGTCGATCGATACAATAACCTTAGCAGCAAATACAGTTTATCATTGAGTCAAATGCTGACTGACGTTTTTCATACAAATTGTTATTTCATTATTTTTACACTGAATTGACGGATTTTTCCGTTATTTCCCGATCATGACAAGGAGCACACGGCGATGAGTCAAATGCTAACAGACTTTTTTCATACTGATTGTAAGGCCATTATTTATACACTGAGTTATCCACGGATTTTTTCTCGTTATTTTCCGACCATAACAATGAGCACAGAGCGGGTGTGACCGGTCGGCAGGGGATGCTCATTCCTCCATGGCACCTGGTCCCATCTCTGATGTTTTGGAGGTCATTGTTTGCTCCGCTCCTATTTTGTATTGTTTAATGGACTTGAGCTCAAATACTTTCTTTACCTCCACACATTTCATTCCTTAATTGTCTCATTGAGTTCTACTTTTTGTATGAAAATCTGAATGAACTTTATTCTCATAATAACAGTTACTGACAAAACAGTGAAGCAAATATATGTACATATAGTAAAATGAATAGAAAATATTGAATACCTGAACAAGGGATAACAGAGTTTCATAACAACCAAGAATTGTGGATTTGATAGCATAAAAACTTTGCAAATACACTACTCTTGAGTCCTGTATAGATTAGTGAGACTTAAAAAAGCTTGTTCTTATTTATCTTACAGGCCAATTCTGGGTGAAAATCTGTTTTCCCAAAATCATACCACCAGAATGAAATATGAAGATAACGAACAGTTATTATGTTCAAAACTCCACTGAAAAAATACAGGTTTAGAGTAAACATGGACCTTTAAAATATCAGAGATGGGATTAGATACCATGGAGGAATAAGCATCCCCTGTCCTCTGGTTACACCAACCGTGTTCTCGTCCTGATTGGTCAAACGAGAAAATTGAATGTTACAAAAATGGTCTAACAAATTGATATAAAAAATCGTTAGTCAAGATTATTGATAGATCGTATTTGCTAATAAGTTCTTTATATCGACCATAGAATTTGCAAGAAAGTAAACTTTAAATGAGAATGTTGAACATAATGCGAACATCTACTCATAAAAAAAAAATGCAAATTCCTTGAAACATTTAGCTCTACCGTTCATTGACATTATATTTCATGTCAATATTCCCATTACATGTATATTACTTTATCACATTCTTTTAAAATTAATTTGCTAAAATTTTCTTGACAATTAAGCGTAATTAAATTCTTATTCCACCAGTTTATTAACATCTCTTTGGTTGTTATTTAACAACACAGAGATCAATACATATTATCATAACATATATACATACATGCGTGAGCATAACATGTAACATATATACAAAGTGTGCTTATAATCAAGTATTTCCATATATGTTTACATTGATGTTAACCTGGAGGTTTGACTCTCTCGTTTAAAATTTTAATAAAAGAACAGAGTTTACTCAATAGTCCAACATTTTTTGAAGAAAACAATTCATTAAATTTGATAATGTTTGGTCTTGTAAAATAATATTTCGGAATGTACAATTTTCTTTCATCTTTTAATTTTTCACAACATAAAATATAGTGGAATTCATCACCAAGATCATTTTTACATAAAAGACATATTCTATTAATTCTTTCAATACCTTCCCATCTTCCTGTTTCAATGGGTAATTTATGGTTTGCTGTTCTAAATCTAGCTAAAATTTGTTTCTTATAATTATTTAACCTGCTATCTACATAAAATTGACATCCAAAGTGTAAATTTGTAAATAGATTATATGTCACACCTTT